AGGATATCCTGGTTTAAGAGACTCTTGAAGCCATGGGCCTACAGAGTGAGAATGAAGTTTTGAATTGAGCCTAGAGTCTTTCAGATGAAAGGTATTAGAGGTACTCATTGAACTCAACATAGTAGTGTCAAATTGAGAAGTAAAGAGGCCAGAGAGCACCAGGCATGGTGGTACATGCCTGTAATCCCAGCTACTCAGGAAGTGGAAGTAGAAGGATTGATAGTTTGAGGCCAACCCAGGCAAAAGTATAAGACCCTATCTGAAAAACAAACTGAAAGCAAAAGGATTAGGGACATGGCTCAAGTGATAGAGCAATTGCCTAGTGAGGGCCTAAGTTTAATACCCAGTACTGACAAAAAAAGAAAAAAAATGCCAAGAAGCACCAACAACATTTAAGAGGCAATTGGCAGAATTTGGTCTGGCTCACAAAATGTTTAAAATTCACTATGGTAGTGAAGTAGAAGAAAAGTAAAGGAATTTCAAGGAAAGGTGGTCTCTGGCAGTATCTGATGTTCTGTAGACCTCAGGTATGCCAAACACGAACCCTGAAAAGAGGTCCTCAGGTTAAGTGATTAGGCCATTTTCAACATTAGAGACTTTCCTCTAATGGGGTGGGTTAAAACTCCAGAGTATACGACATTAAATTGGAAGTGCTGGCGAGGAATTCTTTGAGGAAACTGGATAAGTAGTGAAAAAATTTTTAGCAGAGATTTGACTGAGAAACAGAGGATACCCAAGAGCTAAATGCACCCTGAAGAAACTTTACAGAAAACATAATCTAAGGATCAAATATCATTGACCTTGAAATGTTTTCTTTCATTACTCATATCTCAGTATAATTTCTGGCACGTAGGTGTCCTTCAGCAAATATGCTGAAACGTGTAAATTCCTTCAATTTTACAAACTCAGGTTTTTCCCTATAAAATTGGACCTTTGTTAATGTTTTGTGTACCTGGGCTTTTGTTTCTTTGTTTTCTTTTTGAGTGTAAAATTAAATTCAGCAATTTTGCATTTATACAAGAAATTATTTCACTTCACACTAGCCATACTTTCCTGTTGGCAAGCTTTGCACCTTGACATTGCTTAAGAAAGCATTTTGTAAATTTTTATATATAATGAAAAGTAATAAGATGTTCAACTAAATTCTGTCTTCTTTCTTTGTCTGTTTTGGCCTTGCATTTCATAAGAATGCACAGAAGGACTTAAGAAATTGGGCTTATTTAATGCAATGTCCTGTCCCAAACATAGCTCCTTCCCTTACCCTTCTGAGTAACTACCACTCTGCTGACATTTATGTAGAAACTTTCCTGCTTCACTATATTGCCTTATTTCCCAGGTGTAATGAGTACTGTATCCCTAATATTAGTTTTACTTTTTTTTTTTTTAAAGTATCTTGTTATCCTCAGGTTTCACAAGCATGGCTGTCTCGTTCCCCCATTCTTATTTATTTAATTGTTATACTGGTGGGGGTACACTGTGGCATTTATACAACTTCTTACAATATATCCTACTTGAATTTACCCCTTCCACCATTCTCCTTTTTCCTACCTCATCCTGTTCCTGAAATAGTTTCAACAGATACCATTTTTCCATTTACATACACTATTGCACCATATTCATCCTCCTACACCATTTTCTCACCTCCTCCCCGCTCTCACTGGTATACCAACCTCCCCAGGCAGGACTTGTTTCTCTTCCATTTTTAATTTGTTGAAAAAAAAAAAAAAGCCAAAAAACCAAACAGATCATTCATCTTGTAAAATTGTCCCACAACCTAGATTTTGTTGATGAGTCTCATGGGATGTCATTTAATGTCTTCTTTCATTCTCTTTATTTCCTATAAAGTGGGCATTAGATTTAATCAGTTTCAGGACACTCCCCCCATTTTGACAGTATTATGTCCTAGGTGGTAGGGGTGTTCTTCCTCAAGAGGTGCCTCAATTCTGATTTTGAGATAGTAGCAGTGGTGGGTGCAAAATGCCTGAGTCTATGATTCAGTAGGTGTCTTAGCATGATTGGATTATAGTTACATGATTTCCTTTTTATTTACAGGCTGAGAATGCATAAAGAGAAAGTGGTACAGTTGGTATCAGGGTACATGTTTGATATTTTTCCCTTTTTTTAAAAACCACTATTCAGAATTAAAATTGCCACTGTATGTCTTCCTTACATGAGCTATATATGTAAGGATATATATGTGTGCGGGGCGTTAATGTTTGACAGCCTGAGGATTAAACCAAAAGAAAGAAAAGATAAGGTGAGGCTCTCACCATCTGCTCTCAACTGGACCCCCTGCTGAAATCTGGGAGACCAACTGGTGAATAAAGCTTGCTGGCTTGGTCCCAGGTCCTGACATTGGGACTGCTGGCTCTGGGAGGGGTAGGGTTGGTGAGGAATCCCCTGCATCTCATCCTGGTAACCAAATTACTGGTGAGGAAAAACTACTTCTACCTTCTTAGTTTCCATAAATTAAACCGATATAAGAAAAATTAGCAAGGAAAAGAGAAAAAATGTATCTTGGGGTGGTTAGAATCGAGTCTTATATATCATCTTTTTAAAAATTAAAAAAATGGATAAACATTCAGTGCACACATTTATCAGGTACAGTGTGATATTTTGGTACATATATATTGTCTATGTAAAATGACAACTTTGCTTTAAAGGAAGTAAGAAAATATTTTATTCTGAGCCAAATATGAGTGACCATGGTTTGGGAACAGACTCAAATTACCCTTAATACTTGTTCCCTTGTGGTAGAGGTTACATGAACTTTTATAGTCACAGAACAAAAGAACTACATTGACGAGTTCATCAGGCAGGCAGGTGATAGCAGAGCAGGAGAAATCTATAGGGTTTAGATGTTATTATATTCTTAGCTTTAGAGTTTTTTTTTTGTAATCAGCTATAGAGGTTAATAATAAATGGCTATTGAAAGGGACTAAAGACAGGCCAATAAAACTTTGGCCTTTGATTTGCAATATTCCGTCTCTCCACAATCATGATGTTAGTCACCCAACGTCAGACAGTATGCAGGCTCTTAAATACTGATGTGGCTTTATTTATTTATTTATTTATTTATTTACTTAATTTGCAGTACTGGGGTTTGGACTCAGGACTTATACACTTGCTAAGTAGGTGCATAAGCTTGAGCTAAGCCTCCAGCCTTAGATGTGGCTTCTTTAGAGAACTTCAGTTCACAATACAATGTGGTCAGTTCAGCCTATCTGGTATATCCAGCACATCAAGCATTTATCATTTCTTTGTATTGGGAACAATCAAAATCCTCTTTACTAGCTATTTTGGAATGAGCAGTTAATTGTTGGCAACCATGGTTATTTTACCGTGCTACAGAATATTAAAACCTGTTCTTCCTATCCGACTTCACCCCATGCCTGTCAACCATCCTCTTCTTGTCTTTTAGTTCCCACCCTCTTGGCTTCTTATAACCTACTATTCAGTTGTCTTCTTTTATGGGATTAACTTTTTTAGCTTATACATACAAGCTGTGTAAATTTACATTTAAATTTCTGGACCTGACATTTTACTTAACATAATGTCTTCTAGAATATCAACTTAAGAAAGGGAAGGAAAGGGGGAGAGAAAGACCACTTAAAGAAAAGAAAATGATGCATTAGGAAGATAAATCAGCCTTGATGAGGATAAATAGGAAATATGATAGCTTTGTGACAATGTTTGCTCAGGTGTGGAGTGAAGAATTCTGTAGTGATAAGAACTAATCTCCGATTGTTCTTGAGGAGGGGTTTTAGACAATTGAATTCTCTTGAGTAGCTTTTAGTCAGCTAAGAGATGTCAGGAACTAAAATGTCTTCTGCTGAAAATAATTTTTATACTTTATTAGCATGTTCTGGACTCCTTCAGTACATATGTGTGTGTGTGCATATATATATATTTTTTTCTTTAAAGGTATAACACCTGTGTTAGTCAGACTTTAGTCACTGTGATAAACATCTTAGAGAAGCAACTTAAAGGAGGAAGAATTTATTTTGGCTCTTGGTTTCAGAGGGGTTCAGTTCATGGTTGACTGGTTCCATGGTTTCTGGGTGGTGGTTAGTAGAGCATCATGGTGGAAGAGCATGGCAGAACAAAGTTTCTCTGACCTCATGGAGGCTAGGAAACAAAAAGAGACAGGAAAGGGATACATACAAGGTACTTCTTTTCTGGGCACAACCCCAAATGACCTACTTCCTCCAACTAGGTCCTACTTCCTAACACTTCCGTCACCTCCCAAATATGCCATTAAATTATGAATCCATCAGTGGGTTAATTCATTGGTTGGGTCAGAGCTTTCATGATCCAGTCACTTCTCACTGATAAGTCCACTAGCTGGAGACCAAACCTTTCACACATGAGCCATTTACAGAGATACTTCTTATACAAACCTTAAGAACACTTCAATAATTCATACTGACATTTCAAACTTGGATAAAATTCAGGTTGCTTATGTAAAGTTTGTCTTACATCTGTATCTTCCTCCAGGTTTTACAGGTTCTTAAGAAGACTGGGAATGACAGCATATCAGTCCAATCCAAATCATGCACAAATCATTATTTCAATTATTAATGAGAGTATGCTTACTGAGCAGAGTTAAAATAACCACTCCATCCTCACCTTACTATAGAGTGTTTGTTTCTACAGTTGTACTCTTCCTGAAGCATCAGAGCATTTCCGGTATTTTTTTTTTTTTTTTAGTACTCTTTCCCCTCTGTCCCAGTCAGCCATTGAGATTTTAAGGAGATAAATTGCACAGCCTTAGGCTTTTGTGATTCTGTTAATACTGTTGCAGAATTTCTTTTCAGTTGTGCCTATGGAAGAGCATAAGAAAGGTAACTAGTTTTAGGTTGACAGAGGAATTATTCTTCACACAAATGAATGGGATGTTAAACTCTTTGTAGAGGACTAGTGAAATAGTTAAAGGTTTTGTATATTGAATTTCACAGTAAATGGAACTTTCACAACTTTTTTTCTTTTGTGATTGATAGAACGTTCTAGTACGCCAGTAGAAAAAAATATCACTTTGGAAAAGCCTGCTAATATGGAACTCACATGCCAATTCAGAACATCTGGGGATTTGAATTCAGTAAATGTGACTTGGAAGAAAGGTGAAGAGCAACTTGAAAGTAATTATCTTGTCAATACAACAGGAAATACCCTGTACACCCAATACATGTAAGTTTAACCTACATTGCTGGCCACAGTTAATTTAATGCTAAATATTTTTACTGATTGAGCACTTTCATTCCAAGTCATTTGAATGTTGGGCTAATATTTTAATTTCAATGTTTACAGAATTACTTCCTTTTTTGCCCCATTATTGTTGTACTGGGTATGCATCGTAACATTTATCAAAACTTGTACAATATATTATAGTTGAATTCACCATGTCTATCATTCTCCTTTGTTCTCCCTCCCCCCATTCCTGGAATAGTTTCAGCAGGTTGCATTTTTCCATTTTTATACATGAGTACATGACATTTCCACCACATTCACCTTGGCACCCTCCCACTGGTGCCAACCCCCAGACAGGAACTGTTTTACCTTTTTGTTCTCCATTTGTGAAAAAAAGACTTTTTTGTTTGTATAAGTTATACAGGGAGTTTCAGAATTATTTCTATTTAAAAACTTGGATTCATGGCTGCCTTTATTTTCACTAAGAAGTGTTTTGAGAATAAAGCCTATGTTAATAACTTGAATTATCTTTAGGTTCACCATCATTAACAGCAAACAAATGGGAAGTTATTCTTGTTTATTTGAAGAGGAAACAGAACAAAGGGGAACATTTAATATTAAAGGTCAGTATTAATAACTTGAGTGATAATAACTTTAGCATTATGTTCTTAGATTTCTAAATCCCTCAGCTTTTAAATTATTATAATATTAAACACCATGCAGCTGAAAGAAAATCATATGCTTCCCACTGCCTCACAAGAGGTGACCTTGAAAATGGTCTTGTGTTTTCCATTCCAGTCCCCTCCTGCTTCTGTCTTCCAGTTTACAACACAGGTTTTAGTTCAAGAGGTCAGCCTACAAAGTAGTAATAAATCATAGCCGTCCCTTGAATTTATTTATTAATTTAGCTCTCTAAATTTAGAGTTTTTATAATAGTCCATTGGATTTCTGAGTTATGCACTCCTGGACTACTAGGTTATAGTTTAGTATTCTATGTAAGTGACTCTAGGACTTAGGACTCTAGGGACCCCAAAAAATTTAAAGATAACATGGAGATATATAAAGCGATACATAAAGGGTTTTTTACGTTTTGTATCATCCAGTACCATCATTTAAAAATACTGTCATGTGTCTGTTAATGACAGAGATTTGATCTGAGAAATGTGTTATTAGGTGATTCTGTGGTTATTGAAAATATCATTGAGTGTACTTACACAAACCTGAATGGCACAGTCTAACTACACATCTAGGCTTTATGGCATAGCCAGTTGCTCTAAGCTAGATCCCTGTACAACTGTAACTGTGCAGAATACTTTATGCAGTCAAACACAGTGCTATTTATTTATATAACATAAATTATGGCATAAAAGATAAATAGAAAAAATGGTACCCCTGAAAAGGAACTTCATATGAGTTGAGCCTGCAGAACTGGAGGTCGGTCTGGGTGAGTCACAAGGTGAATGACTGTGAAGGTCTACTCATTCCACAATTACAGACTTTTAAAATTCTGTACACTTAGGCTTCACTAAATTTATAAACAATAGTTTATTAATAAGTTAACTTTAATTTACTGTAACTTCTGGAGAGAACATATTTTCTCTTTCTTTTGTTTGGCAGCCTTGGAGTTTGAGGCACTCGGGGCTTCATTCTTGCAAGGCAGGTGCTCTACCACTTTTGCCACTCCACCAGCCCAATTTACTGTACTGTTACTTTATAAATTTTTTAAATTTTTGACTTATAATAACAGCCTAAATTGTGTCTTTATTCTGCAAGCTTTTTTGGTTTTTGAATTTTTTTTTTTTTTACTGTATATACTTTTTAAAAATTAAAAGCAGAGATACAAATATTAGCTAGGCCCTCACAGAGTCAGGCTGATCAGTATTGCTGCCTTCCATCTCTGCATCTTGACCCAACGGGTGGTCTTCAGAGGCAGTAATGCCCATGGCACTGCCATCCCCTGTGAGAACAGTGCCTTCTGAAGGAGCACGTCCAGAAAGACCTGCCTGGGGCTGTTTTGATATGTCTGCCCTTCAGAGAATTCCATGGTGATTTGCTCCATTTGCTTTGTTTTTTTCACCACAGATTCTCTTTAGCAGATAATGTACTACAGATATTCCTCTCAATAAAAATCTTTCAGCGCCACAGTCCATTTTGTCTTTTTAGGAAGTTCCCTAAACTCTGCTGTGGATTTTCATGGCTTTGTTTTCCTTTTCTTTTGCCTCTTCATCAGACCTTTTCAGCTCCACCATAACCTTACGGAACCACTATTGTATAGTTGGTTCACTGTTGACTGAAGTATCTTTTTGTGGTACGTGACTCTACATACAAACCCCACAACAAACAAATCAAAGTGTTTTTGTGGTCATTAAAGCAAAGCTACAGAATGTTTCGGTCTCATAATAAGGACTCATTGCTTGAGTTGGATAATTATCTTCGTGAAAATCCCAGTATTTTCTGGTAGATTAGTGATCTACAGTGTTGATGCTGGTATTTGGAAAATGTAGTCTGAGGCCATATTAATTGCCTGGGGTTTTTCTTCACACTAATTTTCCAGAGAACTTGAAAATTGTTTTCTGTTTTTCAAGTCTTACCAGCTGCTCTGACAGAATATGGATGCTGTCCTGAAGATCCCGTCAGTGGCAGACTGGCCTTCTTCACTGTGGTCATGATTTAATATAGTTCATTCCATGTCTTTCACTGTGTCTCCTCTGCGCACAAGCACCCATTTTATTCACATGGTTTTGTACTTGTTCTAAGTCGGAAAAGATAATAAATCCTTATATTTATATACTTTGGTCTTTCCAAAGGCAGAAATTGGTATCGCCCTTTGATTTTGATCGTGTGTATTCCTTTTTGACTATCTTTCTTCCACTGTCTGATCTAGTGAGAGAGTAGAGGCACCACCTACATTTCCTTAGTGTTTCCTTTTCCTTCCTCATTCCTTTTGTTTCTTTTCTTTTACCTACCCTGCTATCCCTTCTGTTCCCTACCTCTTCCCTTCTTTCCTTTTCCTTCTTCCCTTCCTCTTTTCCTCCCCTCCTTGACCCTCCCCTTCCCTTCCCTTCTCTTCCCCTTGTTTCCCTTCCCTTCCCTTCCCTTCCCCCTTCCCTTCTCCTTCCCTTCTCTTTTCCTCCTCTTCCTTTCTAATGAGCAAAAACGAGTAGTAAACATGTGCACACGATTTCGGTGAACATACTTTATCGAGTAAATACATGAAGAAGTCTCCAGATCCCAAGAGACTCTCATCAAATCACAGGACTTGAGTACTCCCAGGATATTCAGCTTTAAACATTGTGTTTTATTTTTTCTTTCCTTCTGTCTTTTAGTTGCATTATTGTGTGAAAACAAGTACTGGTCATAGTTTATATATTGACTGTATTATATTACTTTTGTGTGTGTGTGTGGTACTGGGGTTTGAACTCAGGGCCCCTTGTTTGCTAATCAGTGCTCTTCTTCTTGAGCCAGGCTCCCAGCTCTTTATGCTTTAATTATTTTTCAGATAGGAGATCACAGTTTTTTCCTGGCCAGTGTGGACTACAATCTTATGTGCTGTCCACATAACTTGGATGACAGGGGGCCCAGGCGGAGGTGGGTCCTCATTAACTTTTTACCTGGGTTGGCCTTAAACTGCAGTCCTCATGATCACCTCCTGAGTAGCTGGGATTACAGGTGTGAGCCACTGTGCCTGGCTACATTGGTTTTTATTAGCTTTTATTATAAATTACTGAAATCATTACATGGAAATGATTATTCTTGCTTCTAATGTCAGCCAGTGTCATGCCAAGTATTCCCAGGGAAGGCTCCAGAGTCCTTTTAGAGATAACTAAGCTGATATTGGCTGACAAAGCAAGGTTTTAAATCATTTTTTTCAGGAATGCAAAGAGCCACTAAATATTTTCTTTTACCCTCTTTTTAAAAAATTTGCTTGAAGCAGTTTAATTCAACTCATTTGTACTTAGCCACTTAACATTGCTGTAACTTTTAAGTATGTACTATCTCCTGAAGATATTTATAAAATTAGTAAGTTGGTCTTTCTAGATCTTCTTTGGTAAAAATAATAATTTTTTTGTACTTCATCTAAATTGGATATTGCTTGAAGAAAGAATTTCACTTGAATAAAATTTAAAGGCATCTTTTCAGAGATTCATAGTATAGTTACTATTTTTTTAGGTTTCCAAGGCTAATAGAATGGCATGTGTTTTTATAAATGTCCTATTGAACTCATTCTCCATATGGTTTGCTTGTGGCTTTTCCTGAGAAGAATTATCTGTTCTTACTACATTGCAGTTGAGTGTGGATAAAAAGCCTGTTTCATCCTCTATTTTTAATTGAGTCCTCCAAATTTTGTATTTTGCTGTAGACTGTGAGCCAATTATATAGTCCATGAGCTTGAGTCCTGCTTCTGTGTTTATGGAAGCTAGTTTATTTATTATGATCAGAGTATAAAGGCGCCTCAACATGAACGATTAGCATGATGCAAAAAACAAAAAAACCCTGCTGACTCAGTGTGCTTAGCTGTCATGCCAGAACAGGTGAAGATAGCAACATGCCTGCTGGAAACTTGCAGCTGCTAATGTGTTGGTGATTGCTTTTCATCCAAGAATGATGAGAGATGAGTGTTTCTCAGTAGTGGGTCAAATATTCTGAGTGAGTTGCTGAACTTCCATCAAAGTTAAAAATCTCTTAATAGAAAGTATGCACAAATTCAGTTGGTAAACAAGGACTTTGGGGATTCATGGTGAGATTTTGTAATACCAGATGTTATGGAGACTTGTCATGGCTCAGCCATCTTCCTTCTCTGGGAATTATCTAAGAAGTAAAAGCATGGAAAAGTGGAATAGTAGAATCAGCTAGGACGTTAGCTCTAAATCCCAGTATAAGTCCAGTTAGCTATCCTTGACCGTATGCAAAGAGTATTTATCCTAACATGATAATATCTAAGTGACTGTGAACCAAGCATAACATTAGGCCAAATATTCTAGCTCATAAATATGCAAATACAGACCTCTCCTAGATATCAGCCTGAATCAGCAATTTCACCATCTTAAAACCTGTTATTACCCAAGACTCCCATGCGTCCTACATTATCCAAATTTCTAAAGATCAAAGGGCATGTTAGAATATAGTCACACTGTGCCTATATTAATAAATATTTCCAAACATAAGCAGTGGCCCAGAACCAACTGTGACTCCCCCACCCAGAACAGTTCAAACAAATTAATGTTCCCTGAAGATAGTGCATTTTATAATTCAAACCCACACTGTTATTATTAGGCACACATAGCAGAACAGAGGAATGGATAAGGTAAAAACCTGAGCATTTGCCTAGGAGATAGTTAAGAAAACAGAAGAGATGGAAAGAAAACAGAATTAAGATTTTAGTTTCTCCATGTCATCACTCAGTCATTGTCATTTATCTGCGGTATTAAGCCTGATCTTAATATCCAATTGGAATAGTCATGTGTTCTTCACCCATAGCAAACCCAAGGTTTTCTTGAAAAGCCTGCTAGTTGCCAGTTCTGTCTCCCAAGTTCTGCCTCTTGGAAGTTTACTGAAAAACAGTATCCCTTCCATGTTTTTCCCCCAAACATTGTCTTTTCCCACCTTTGATTCTTAGCTTTTGGGCAAATATCAACATTTTGATCACATTTCAACACATACTTTCCTGCTAAAGTATAACCTGCCCTCCAGAAAGAAGGATGTCTGGTTTGGGAGGAAGGATATCTAGAAGATAAGCAACCTGAGAAAGCAGAACTGGTGCCACCCCCCACCCCACCCAGAGTGCCCTACACAACCAATTTCAAAGTATTCCCTTCAGAGCAGTGTTTGTGTTAAGGTGCCCTGAGCCAGGCTGTAGAAGCCATTGTAACACAGCTGGTCAAATACAATACGCTTTGTGTCTTTTGGGGCTCAAGAGGTGTGACTGCCACATCAGAGGCTTGGAGGGAAATGCAGGACATGCGGGTGGCTTCAAAAGAAGAATCCCTGTTTTAGCCAAGCTCTAATCCTTGCTTAATCTGCATATCTTTAGTTGACTTCTCTTCTAAACTAGGGTTGATCTTTTATTCTCAAAGTGAGCAGTTAAGCCCCCAAATGCTTCTGTGTTCTCACAACCCACTAAGGTTTTTAGAAAGGGGTATTGAGCTCTGGTAGGTTGATAGTGCTTTGTCATGGTATCCTCACACACCACCTCTCAGAAATAGAAATGTGCACAAAAAGGAACAAAAACCATGTTGTTATTGACTACTCATAACAAGCCTTGCTGTGGAAATCCTTAAAAGGCTTCAATGCATGGCCAGTTAACTTTTTTTCCTAGCTATATCTTAATAACCTTAAACTGAGTGTACTAATTTATTCCCTTCACAAGCAAATGTAGTTTGGGGAAGAATATACATTGACCTGAACCAAAAATGAAAAATAATGACGAGTATGGGACTGAATTATTTATGCTTGTAAATTCCTATTTTAGAAAAGAGCGTCCAGTCAGTCAGTGACCAGTCCGGACAGTCTCCCTCCGTAGGGCTGGAAAACAGGGAGTGTTAAGTGAGAGGAAGTAATTTTTAAAGAGGTTCAGAGGGATGCCAGTGCACAGACCACTGTCTGGCTGTCAGTAGTCACAATGTTCAGTATCTAGGGAAGAAATTGCTCTGCCATAAGGAAAAAATACAGAATAAAATATTCTGTGGTTCAGCTTAGTTGAGCCTTTAACATGTGGACATTTAACCATTTTCTTCTCAAAAACTTAAAACATATTTGTTACATTAATATCAAGACAGATAGTCTGCTTACTTTCTTGGATCCAAGAGCTGGTTTCCAATATTTTTTCATATTGGATATTTTCCTCCATTTCAGTGCTGTTTGGGTCTATAAATGAGTTCTGAAGGGGTAGCTGCAGACCGAGGAAACAGATCCAAACTAACAAAGTGGCTTTACGTGGTAGGATGGAATGCCTATGTGAGAGAGACACCCTTTCTTTTTTCTTCTTCAAATAGAAAAAAGGCATTTGGACTTACTAAAATTTTAGTTATCGGGTTTTATCAATGTATTTGCATTATTCTGCTTTTTTTCATTAAAACCAATATGTTATGACTGAGCTATGTCCTTTTTATTCTTAGGTTTCATAATAATCTATAAAATCATTATTTCACTTATTGTTTCTGCTCCTTCTACTATATCTTGTTATCAGTAGCAACCAGTAACTAGGCATCCTGGCTTAAACAATTCTAATTTATGCTTAAATTATGATGCATGTACAAACATAACCTTTTTCAGTGGCTTTAGGCAAGCACCTGAATGTTTAGTTAAAGCAACAGAATTTTTCACTGCTTCACTGAAAAGTTGTTTCCTATATGATAGTCAAGGATGGACTGGGATTGTCATCAATATCTCAAAACCACTTTTTCTTCACTTCCCTCCTGGTCTTTACTGTTTCTTCCTCTCCTACACTTTCATGTCATTTTACTTTTTTTTTTTTTGTGGTACTGGGACTTGAACTCAGGGCCTTCACCTTGATCCACTCCACCAGCCCTTTTTTGTGAAGGGTTTTTGAGATAGGGTCTCGTTAAAATATTTCCCTGGGCTGGCTTTGAACTGTGATCCTCCTGAGTAGCTGGAATTACAGACATGAGCCGCAGGCATCTTTAATCTTCTTTCTCAGATGGATGGGGTAATTTGCAAAAGGACACAGTTCAGGGACTTTTCTTCGTTATGGGTGCTTTCATACATTCCCACGGTTCTGAGATAATTCAGGGGAATTTCCAGTTTTCTCTTTCTTTCGTTTCTTTTTTTTTTTTTTTTAATTTCTGAGTTTTATTTCTTCTCTGAGCCATAAGGATAGCTGACTAAGAATCATTTTTTCCACATGAAGATAATCTATTCTGTCCAGCTGGCTAATGACCACTATGTAGAAAGGCAGCCATATACATTATTATTATAAGAAAGCTTAATTAAGAAGGTAGTACCAGCTGGGCATGGTGGTGGGCATCTGTAATTCCCAAACTCAGAAGGCTAAGGCAGGATGGTTGTGAGTATGAGGTCAGCTTAGACTACCTGGGAGACTCTACCTAAAAAAGAAAGAAGGGAGGGAAGGAAGGAAGGAAGGAGAAAAGACAAAACATAATCCTAACAGAAGCTTGAATTTCATGACATTTATCATGTACCAAGCACTTTAGATTCTGTGTTCTCTCATTTAATCCTTTGCAACAACACCGCAGGTGGATATGACTTATCCATGCCCTCAAAGCTAGTAACACAAAGCTGTAATTCTAAATCAAATATTTTCTGAACCCAAATCTTACCTGTTATACCATTGTCACACTGTGCTGTCTCCTTCCACTCGTTGTAACCTGACCTTTGAAATTAACCTTAGATTCCTCAGTTTAAAGGTGGCCAGTAGGGTGTGTGAGGTAGTGTCTCCAAAGGAATGTTTAGAAGATCTTCTGGTGTGATCAGCCCACCAGTTTCTTCCGGCTGGGGTGACTGCAGGCAGCTGCACCTTAAGGTGATGAGAGGCATTCACCTCTCCTGTCACGTCTCTTGGAAGCATCCTAGAATGCTGCTTAGTAGGTGTCTTAGTAGGCTGCTTAGTGAATTCACTACAAATGTGAATTGGCAGTTCACATCTTTGGTTAATATAAGATCATAGACCATTCAAAGTTAATCAAAAGATGTTTCCTTCTTTATGAAAACTATGGGAACCACTGACTTGTAGATTGCTCTGTCATCTTTCTCATGATTATTGAGGCATTTATGCCTTCATAGGTGACATACCTTCCTGTAATGTGCCTGTCTTTATTATTAGCAAGGCCTCATTCAATACTGCTGGTTAGCATTACTCAGAAAGAAGGGGATGATATGTGTAATTTTATCAGTGTCAGTGATTTAGGCCCATTTTAATCAGTATGGAATAAAAGAAGGCTTGCCTTACGCCAGTGTAACTTAATTGCTTGAGGACAGAACCCATAAAGAAACCCTGTTTTTCCCTCTTGTCTGGTGGTTACACAAGTTAGAATCTCTCTTTCAGTTATTACCAACTATTTTCATCTTTATAATTAACAGATCCAGCAAAATCCCCAGTTATCTTTGAGTAGCTGAAACTCGGGAGCACTTGGAAAACATTTAATCCAGAAACTTAACTCTAGCAATTAAAATTGACTATTCTGTGTCCTATTCTGTCCCTCTCAAATATAAAATCTAAAATTTGATTACAAGTGAAAAACATTTAAAAATCTATAAAAGTTTTCAATATAGTATAGAAAAGTTAAGCATTTGTAATTTCATCCATTCTTTCCCTGGTTGGTAAACTGAACAAATAAAAAGTGAAAAAAAATGCTAAAATTGGTAAAAGGAAAAAAAAAAGACAATCAACAAAAAGTATTCTTTGTTGATTAGTCTACATCTCAGTTTAAGTGTGCATTCTATAGTACATCCTTTGATATATATCAATCGAAAGAACCAATTTTACTGTGTAGGTAATTTGTTGACTTTTTGTAACATTGCTTCTGTTCTTATGTTTTAATTTTCTTTACCAAATTGTTCACATCTTTAGAACTTAATTTTCCTAAATTAGTGCTTATTAGTATTGTTATCGATGACATCTATTTCAAACTTTCTTGACTAAGAAGTTTATCATATAGTTTTATAAGACAACAAGAAGTGCTTTTCTATCTCATTTTTTTCTTTTTGTTTTTGTTCTTTTCTCTGAATTTTTCTTTGTTCCTTTATGTTCTCCACCTCTTTAATACTTTACTGCTTTTCATACATCTGTATTAACTAAAGGTTTTCTAGCCTGGAAATTTTTACTTTTCACTGACATGACACTTAAGGGTAAAACTGAAAAAAATACTTACTCTAAGTGACATAGTAGGTGAGAAAAAATGAATTTAAAAACATGAAACTTCTTTCTTATCCAAACATGTTGATTGCAACTCTTACAGTTGTTATTAGGCATAATCATAGGAGACTTCTCTAGTCCTATATTGTAAATAATTATATTGGTGCTCTCTGAGTACTTAGTTACTATAACTACTGACACACCCTTATAACTGTAAGTTGGTTTCATTTTATGTATAACTAAAACTAAGAAAATCATATTAATAAGAAAATAAAAAGGGAGTATCTTCAAGTTTAGTACATTTCTTTTTTTTTAAACTGTTTTGGTGATGTATATTTCTCTAAATTTTTCTTAGTTCCTGCACTTCATGGAAAAAATAAGCCATTGATCACTTATGTGGGGGACTCTACTGTTTTGATGTGTAAGTGTCAAGATTGTCATCCATTAAATTGGACCTGGTACAGTGGTAATGGTAGTGAACAGGTAAGATCATATTTATTTGATTTAAAGAAAACAAACCCTTCTACTTCATAAATAACAAGATTATAACAGACTTATACTTTGGTCACCTTGGTATTTAATATATATGTATAAAGAAAAAACTGACAAATAGAGTTGTCATTGGATGATTTTAGCATATTACATTATATATCTGAAGATAATTTTAATATTTCATTAGCTCACTTTTTCTTAGGTTTAGCAATTTATTTAAGTTCTTTGAAAGGAAGTTAAAATTCATTTTTAGTTGACCAGTTTAGAAATAACACTATCAGAAAAGATTCTTTTCTTTTCATTCCATGAAAGTAACTGTGAAAAAAAAAAATCCTAGCTTCTTTTCTAGCTTCTGTTACCTGAAGTATCTTGATAGAATGTAATATAATGGCAACATTTGAAAAAGGTAATGACAATGTGGTTGCTGAAGCTTAGGTCATAGGTTCAATCAGTAAGTGCCATTGGCCTTTTTGGCCACCTAGACTTGGAGAGAAGCCAAATATTATACTTTGAGTCTTATTATCTAAGAGAAATGACTATTCAAAGAGCTGAGGTGAAGAAACACAAGAGTGTTCAATAAATCATTTCTGGTTCCCTTTCTTCTCTTGGTCTCAACTGGCTTGAAAATTCAGGACATTGTCCTTTAGTGGACACCTTTCTTTTGCCCTGGTGCTAATGCCCTGGTGCTTATTATAAAGGCAAGTTATAATTCTGGAAGGAACATATGAAACAGAATAGATCTTACAATGAAAAACTAAATTCCTTCTGAAATAAAGTTAGATCATAGACTATTAAAGGACCACAGGAAAGGATTTTCAGAATGTCTGATTCTTTGGTAACATTGTCTTAATTTTTGAAATAAATAGCTCCAAATCATGTAGATATAGGTTTAAACCATTAATACTTCTGTTTGTTATCTTAATGAAGATTAGATAGGGATATGTGAAGTTTGTAAAACAATAAATTTGCAAAAACAAGTATCAGTTGTGGTATTTTGAATACACAGCTTAATGTATTCATGGATATGTGGTACCAGTGAAATGATAGCCTAACTCAAATTATATTAAACTTCAGAATGTCATTTTACATATACCCATGCTTCTCTGCATTTGCTGCACAAATGATTACTCTCTTAATTTGGCCCTATGCATGGGTCATATTAGGATGTAAGAAAGGTACAGGAAATGGGGTACTGGTCAAAACTTCAGGTCAAGTATTTTTTTTTAAATGTAACCACCTTCTGCATCAGAATCAGCTGGGCACTTACTTACAATGTAATACTTTGTTTTATCTGCTCTGATTCAGAGAGGGGGCTTATGCTGTACATATGGAACCAGGTCACAGTAGTTTTTCTTTGTCAACTAATAAACTCACAGAGAGTTCTTCAGATAACCTCCAAGAATTTTTGTATGCAGATTAGCATTTATTGAACTGTGTAGTTGAGTGATGAACAAGGAAAGGCATCAAATGGCCTGAGAATAAAATTTCATTTAAATAGATTAAGTATAACAGCTTCCAAATAGCTTAGTATAGCTTGTGTGAACCTACCAAAATAGAGAGAGAGAGAGACATGAAAGAGGAGGCAGGCCACAGTGCTTCCAAAGCCTGATCCAGGGTCAGGATTAGGGATCTTCCTTGGTAGAAATGATCAGGAGTGGGGGTTGTTTCCCTGTGTACTGTGCTTGTGAAGAGCTGGTCAGGCATTAGAATGGAGAACCCAGATGGCTGGAGTTTTTCTGATTTAATTCTCATGTAAAATCTACTTGTGATGACCTTTATGTGCATTAGTACTTTCTAACAGTCACTACTAAATCCTTACCATGAATACACGTTTTTTAATTTGTTTGCTACCTGGAAGATCTAAATGATAAGACTTAAGTTCTGTTATATATAGCTTCTCATAGAACTGAATCTACCTTTTTCTAATAAATGGTTTTCTTGGCACTATTGTACCGCTTTGCTCAAAGTCAGGTGGTATTGGACATGCATCAGTTACGCAGTATGTTATGATTTTAATGTCTCCTTGCCTAGATTCCTATTGATGTCCACATGAATGATAAGTATGTTGTCAGTGGAATGTACGCTAATGAAACAAAGATCAAGATAAAGCATCTTTTGGAGGAAGACAGGGGATCCTACTGGTGCCGTGCAATATTCCAACTAGGCGAAAGCGAGGAGCGCATTGAACTCATCGTGCTGAGTTTCTTGGTGCCCCTCAAACCATTTCTTGCAATAGTTGCAGAAGTTGCTCTTCTAGTGACTATTATTCTGCTCTGTGAAGTGTACACAAGGAAGAAAAAAGAGCAGGGACCAGGTAGGATTCCTTTTTCTTAGATGACATTACCACTTAATTATGCTGAGTATCATTAAATTGTGGTATGCATTATGACTGAATAGAGGCTTTTAGAATTTTGGGGAAAACCCTAGTATTTCTTGTTTGGATCAGTATTTGTATTAAAAACACTGATAGTAATGAGCTATGAGCCTATATTGATACTCTTCTTCCTGTTTTAGCATCCTAAAAAAAATTTACTATTAGAATTAACTTTTTTTCTTTTGGTGCTACTGGAACCAGTTAGGGGGTAAATGTGTTGACACAGCAATATTAGGAAGTCTGTGCTTGGTTACGGCAAGCACACTTGCCACTTAATTTATTTTTAAAAATATTTTTTGAAATATTCTGAAGTTCTCATAAGAGACATTATCCTGCCAGTTTCTTCTTTTTTGTAGCCTGTGTCTGAGGGGCAATGGTTTGAGAAACCAGTGGTCCCTTAAGAATACTTATGTCCTATATTCTTTCCTGATTTGTAATAATTTGGGGGGGTGGGAGGTCCTGGGGTTTGAACTCAGGCAGATGCTCTGCCACTTCAGCTATATCCTCCAGCTCTTTTTGCTTTAGGTTATTTTTCAGAGAGGGTCTCTGCCTGGGCTGGCATTGGACAGTGGTCCTCCCACTTCTGCCTCCTGTGTAGCTGCAACTGCAGATATGAACCACTATGCCCAACTTGTTTGTTGGGATGGGGTTTTGCTAAGTTTTTCCTCAGGCTGGCCTTGAACCACCATCTTCCTGATCTCTGTTTCCCAAGTAGCTGGAATTATAAGAGTGAACCACTGCACTCAACTTTGTTTTTTTTTTTTTTTTTATGCATTTATTCACATGTGCATACATTGTTTGGGTCATTTCTCTGCCCTGCGCCCTCCCCCCACACTTCCAGGCAGAACCTGTTCTGCCCTTATCTCTAATTTTGTTGAAGAAAAGACATAAGCATAATAAGGAAGACAAAGCATTTTTGCTAGTTGAGTTTCAACTTTGATTCATAAGAAAATTTTAATAACTTAAACAACAGACTCATTAATTACATTTTTGAAAATCCCAGGTGCTAAACTATTTTCAGTCAGAAATGTATGTGAAGTCTAGAAAGCAGATAGAGAGGAAGGCTTGAAGGAGATGCAGCTGTTTATGGTTGTATGTTGCTCCTTCCACAGAGGAAAAGCAGCACAGTGCATTCATAAGTTACAGGTCAAGTTGAATTGACAATATATGCCCTATAAAAAATAAACCATGCTTAATTGTCAATCTCTCTTTTTTTTTTAACACAGATGATGGGAAAGAATTTGAACAAATTGAACAGTTGTAAGTATTACTTTTTAAAGACTAATTTTCTCTAGAGTAAAATACAGATAAATATGAAATTGAAATTTTCTGCTAATTTCTGTATTCATCCATGTGGTGTCCCAGAATGGCACCTGGAGCCTGCCTGCCTGTGTTGGCACCCCTCCATCACTTACTGCTCTAATGTCTCTGTGCTTCAGTTTTTCTCCTCTATGAAATGGGTTCATATAATAAGTACTTATCACATAAATCTGATATTATATGTAATATTATGTATATCACATATATATGGTTAGTAAGGACTTTGATACATGGGTATTCAGTAACTATAAGGAAATGTTGTTGCTTAAATGGTTCTCAGCCTTAGGTATACTTTTAATCACAAAAGAAGCTCCTTAAAAATACAGTTGCTTAGACCTTGCTACATCTCTCAGATATGGGGTAGGGGTCTGAGCAGCTATACTACTTGAAAATGTCTACCAGTAGTTCTGTTTCTCTGTCACATTGAAAATCATGGCCCTGGAATACTATTAGTAATTTTTTTTTCTTCTGGTGGTACTGGGGTTTGAACTCAGGGCCTCATGCTTGCTAGGCAGGTGCTCTACCACTGAAGCCATTCTACCAGACCCTTTTTTAAAAAGTAATTATTTTTGAAAGAACACAGATTTTTGTCATGAAGGAGGGCATGAGGAGGGTTGGGAATAAAATTGCCAGGGAGGTAATTTGGTTTGGCGAATGTGGGAAGCTTCTTTTCCTCCAAGCTGGAGAACTGAGTATAGAGGCAGGTGACAGAGGTGCCCTAGGTAAGGATTAAAGGATGAGTGACAGCCAAAGGCTGTGAATCAAGGACATGAGACCAGACTAAGGCAACTGAGAGGAACCTGAGAAGTGGAACCTGGCTGGCTGTTACCAACACAGGATGGCACTAGAGGTTTGTCCTTAGCTCCAGGAACTCTAAGGTGAGTCTGTAGCCACACTAAAGAGCAGGGTGGACCAGATAGTTGTCCTTCAGATATTCATGGGCATCATTCAAATAGGCATTTGACTCAGTTCATCTATAATAGGTAAAATAAATCAACAAGATATATACGTCCAAGTTAAGGGAATAAAGCAATTAAGACAGGTGTTTCATAAAACCAGATGGGGAAAAACAAAAATTAGAGTCTCATTGTTAGAAGAGAATTATACCCTACCCCAAGGCAGTCTGTTCTCTTCCTGGAGGAATTGGACATTTGTGATAGATATGAACTTTGCATATTTTGACTCTCATGTATTGTTCCTCTTATTCTTAGAGGCATTGAAAATTGTGCCAGCCACTCACATACTTGAAGAGAGTATCCTTGCCCCCAATTCTTTCCCCCAGCTCTGCCTCTCCAGTGTCTCTGACCTTCCCTGCTAGGCTACAGGGGAGGCTGCAATCTCATTTGTTCAACACACTCTAAAAAGGATTCTGCCTGAACAGTGTGGAATGGGCTGAAAGTTCTACATAATTTAGCTTTCATTTAGGTAGCCCTAAACCCATTCAGCATGTTTTAAGGAGCAGTGTCAAAATGATTCAATTTATAATATAAAGAAAGAACTTTCCTTCTTTAACAATTGGATTAATATCCAATTGCACCATAGGGATTGATGAAAGTGTTTCCTTTTGGGTTATTCCAGTGTCTTTAGGTCAGCACAAGCAGCAAGGGTAGTTTAAGTCCTTTAGAGCAACCCTTTACCATTGTCCCTTTTAGACTTTTTAGTTAATTTAATTATGAGGTAATTTTTTGGCAGAAATGATTTTCATATATTATATATACAATATATTTTACATACAATGTTTTTATATGTGACTAGATACCCACGATTCACTGGTGTTTTTGGTAAAAATGATATTAAAATAATAGTAAATGTGTAACATCGAAACAAGCCAGCTCCTTCAAACAGTTCAGTGACAAGCTTGCTCATTTATCCGTGCACTCAGATGTTTTTTCCACACAGTCCCACCTGTTGGCACCCACACACTCCAATTTGACATTATCGATAGGGTGGTTAAAATTATTATCTAGTGGTAATAGCTTCATGAGTGCAAGGCTGCCCATAGGATTTTCAATCTGAAGCCCACATGTGTAGTCTTAGTCTAATGCACACGGGGGAAAGGACGATGTTTGACCTTCAGTTTAACGTAATCACATCAGATTATGACACCTGTCTCACACTGAGCTCCTGATTGGCTGTTATCTTGCAGGTTTTGAAACAAAGCCAGCATTATGGATATATGCCTAAGTCCCATTCATGCTCAGGAAGAAGCAAATCTTACTCAGTATAAAAAAAACTAGCCTTGTCACTGTCATCTGTGGCAACAGCTCTTTTTCCAACGGTGGCGTAAAAACAAAATTAACATTATGAGTGATACATTTTTGGGAAGAATGAATTCTGTCTGTTCTGATGTTTCACATTTTATCCTGGCAGCCATGGTACAATTGGTGTGCTGACAATTTTATGCACTGTAAACATTAGGTGATTTCCCTTTTTCTTTTCCACACAGGAAATCAGATGATAGCAATGGTATAGAAAATAATGCCCCCAGGCTCAGGAAAAATGTAAGTTATTTCCAAATGATAGTCTAAATAAAAGGTAAAAGTTAAATTCAATATATTCGGTCTATCCATTGTTTTATTTTTGTTTTTTGAGACAGGGTCTTGGTATGTAGCCCTAGGCTGGCCTCAAACTTGCTGCAGTCATCCTGCCTCAGCCTCTGATTGCTAGGATTACAAAAGCGTTGATTTGGGCTATCTATGAATTGTTACTTTTTTTCAGTTCCATGAAAGACCTAGTCATTACCTATGTGCTCAAATATGCTTGCTTATATTATTACAGGAAAAAATAGATAGTTATATGAAAATTAATGCCATTATTTCCCTTTTTCACCAGAGAATAGGTAGCAACCAACCTAAAAGTAAGCCAGTTGCATTATCCTTTTTTTTCTTGTTCATTTTTTATTTGCTTATTTATTTATTTGAGACAGGGTCTTGCTATATAGACCAGGATGGCCTTGAATTCACGGTCTTCCTGTCTCAGCCTCCTGAGTTTGAGGATTGCAAGCTTGAATCAAACATACTCAGCTTAATTACAATGGCTGTATATATTTCCTTTTATAACCTTGGACTACTTTCTTGTAATTTTTTACATAGCCCTCTTCCTCTCAAACTTTTTTGATTTTTCTGCTTTATTCTCATATATTCTGACATATTTGCTACTAGAAACTAATCCATAGTAGCTTATTTTCTTTACTAATTGAAAATTTTCTTAGTTCATCAACTTTAGAGCTCCTTGTTTTGGCAGTAGATGGAAACCCTCACTTACCAGAATGTTTTTGCTTTGCTAATGTGATAGTTTAAAGTAAAAAGAATATTTAATATGTCTCTTTATGCTTTATTTAACTCAGGAATCTGTGGACCAATGAAGGGAGAGGATCCAGTCAACAGTTGTGGGAAGATGTACAGTTTGCCTTTCAGCTTTGTTTATCCTTCCTTTTAAGAGCATCCGAGTTTTTATTTTTTTAAAGATGAAAAATATGCACAGCAGTAGCTTCCTAAATAATGTATGCTGTTTCAGATCTAAGGATGTATTTTCCTTTGTAATTATTTTACACTAAAGCAAGGTAAATTGTTTTAAATGTGTTCTATGAGATGTATAACCCAGGATAATTACCTACCCACTGTGATACTGAAAATTTGTGTGTTCACTAGGTAATGGATACTTTGTGTTTTTGCTAATGATGGTTACTTTACAAGAAGACATACTTTTAATCCTTTCATAATTGTATAGGGCATGGGAATAAAACCATGTGCTCATCCCAAAGCGGTCACTACAAAAGCAAATCTCCCATCCTTGTTCTACTCATTGTCATTGCTCTTTCACACCATGCCAAAGTGCCTCTTAGTCTCCAAGTAGAACCTTGCTGTGTTTTGTTTTGTTTATTTCCTATGGATTTGGACTTCTTTGGGTCCATGTGGTGTTGATTGTTTAGGATGTAGATGCATATAGTCACAATGCAGCATTGCAGCATTACTCCCTGGATGCTTTTGTGGCTCATTGTTTCCTGGTAACTTTGATACCTAGTTTTTGCTATACATGGCTGGTTAAATATAATACATAAAAATGCACTGTTAGTGTTTTTACAGTAACAATGCCTTTCACTGAAACCCAGAGGTACTAAAGTACTTTTATTTTAATGCAAATGCCTTAGACTCATCTTCAACAATGGGATGTTTCTACTGCATATGTAATAGAAATATTTCAAAATTTACTACAAACAAATCAAATAAACCCCAAATGGACATGAAAAGTTGTCAATGGCTTTAAATGAAATATTAAAATCTGACTCAGGATACCAGACTTAGTGTCTTTGCAGTTGGAGGGTTCAGTGTCCTACTGCTTCATGGCAGTAGGGATAAGAATAATCAGAAGCCAAGAGGAAGAGCAGGTGGTGATGAAAAATGCACAGCTCTTGGTGATGAAGGGATTAGATTTTAGGGGGAGAGGAACTGAATGATCTGATAACAAATACTTCATAGAAATTTCACACCTTGTATATTGGCTAAGAATATTACAACATTCTGGTAGTTGAAAATTAGGACATCCTAACTAATGTTTACCAATATTACTAGCACAAATAATATACATAAACAAGCTATTTAGCAGCTGCTCAATGTTTTGTTGCTGCAAAAAATGCAGTATTTTGTTGTAAAGTATGTTAACTGTACATGTAAATTTTATTGTACCAGAATACACTCCTTTGTGTCAGACTTCATTTTATTCTTGGTCTCAGAGCCATGCATTTATTTCAATTTAATTCATTATTAATTTGACAAAATTATCTTGGGTGGTATGAGGACAATTAGCTTAATTCATCTAAACTTTTTGAATTCTGTGAAAAATTTGTTAAACCTGTTACTTGAATAAGTCTTATTCAAAGCAGTATATCTGTGACTGGGTGTATACAAAATTCAAAACTATATCACTCACGTATAGTATGCATCCATATTTTACTTCCACTGACTATTTACACTAAAATAGTTTTCAAGCAAAAAGAATTGCTGTCCCAAGATTTTAAAAAATCTGAAATATTTATGTATTAGTTGAAGTTCTAAGTGGCAATTCTTGCCTTTTTATTTTTTCTAGTAAAGACAGTTATCTCCAACATTAAGTAGAAAAAGTACTCAAACATTAAGTTGATTTTTGGCTTTTCAGTGTCTCTTTGGAGGACTTTTGGAAGATTATTTCCCCACTGTTTGATTACAAATGGAGTGCTTCCATTAACTAAGCTCCTGCAGATAGCAAACGGATTGACTAAGGACCAACTGTAAATTGGCCAAGAATAAGTTGCAGAAAAGCTGAAGTAGTGAAACTATTCCTGGTTTATGTTAGACACCTTAGGGAATTCTATTAATTCTTCCAGTTGATGGGGTTTTTACTGTATTAGGTATATTTAATGATGTCATAAAATTCCCAGACACTTTCATATTCAGTTTATACTAAATGTAAATCTTCTTTTACAATCTTTTTGTTTTTCCCTGGCGTCTGGTTATTCAAGCTGAAACGTAAGATTCATTGTGATAGTCTCTTTCTCTTTACTTGTCAGTCATGAACTCTGTTACTTTGACCTTCCCCATTAACTCCCCCACCTGACCCTCAATAGCTGCAGTAACTAAGGTATTGATTTTCCTACCTCAGTCTCCTCTTGTATCACTCTTGTATCATCTTTTGCATTGCTGCTCAAGTCCTTTTTCTTTGTGTATGTGTGGTATTAGGGTTTCAACTCAGAGCCTTACCCCATTCCTTTCCCCACTCCCTAGTGGTTAAGTCCTTTTTCTGAAACAGGAAGATCTCACTTTGCAATTTAATGTGGGAGATTCCTGGTTGGTCTCCTTTGCCATTTATTAATGCACTCCACCAAATTGTTAACCTCCTTCCAGTGTCTCAAACTAGCCTTGATGTGAAGAGATTGGGCCCAGATGTTTTTTTCCAGTACTTCTCCCACTTCACTAGGTCAAGATTCACTTTCAAGACTTTAATCTGGTTTTACATCTTGGAGGAGCCCTCGTGCCAGTGGAGCAGGCACTGTCTATGTGTTCTAATACTTCCACAGTTTTTTGTGTTAATTACCCAGCTTTATAAATATATACTTGTTGGTTTCTTTCCTGGATTCTGTCTTATTTTTGTGTCCTGTATCTACCACAGGGGGAGTAAATTAGAGATGTTTTGAACTATATTGTTGATTCGATGAATATATAAATAAAAATCAAATTTCATAATTTTTACTTATTTGTACAAAAACACTTTAGATTGTGACACATCAGCATTGAAGAAAAGAACATTTTGACAGAGAAAAATAAGCTATATAACTTCCTAAACTATTTTGCAAAGTACATTGCTTTTGGTTCATTTAAATTCCTGTTGTCCCATGTTCATGGACAGTACATAGGTAAGCGTTATTTTATCAGTTTTTGAGAACAATACATTGACTTGAAAGAATTTCAGTAAATGTAGTCCTTTGTACTGTACAGAATTGATATTTCTTGTATCTGTTCCACTGATACTGTCATTCCAGTTCCCACCTCTGCCAGTACCTTATGTCATCTCAGAACATCTCAGAATTCACTTCAGAATTTAATCTTAAAAAACATTTGAAGTCTTTTAGTTTAGTTTTGATCACTGAAAGCATGTCTTCTGTCAAATTCATCCACCATTTCTGATTGCTTATTTAAATAGGTTTATGAAAAATGATTTACGTCTCCATAAGAAAATGAATCTTTTATAACTGAAAAGAATTAGGAGCTTATTGAATAGGAAAAGTCCAAGTATGTGTTCCAGTATTAATTAAAAGGCACAGTGACCTATTTGTATTTCCTGAATAAATATTGAATGAATGAAAAATAGAGGAATGACTTAATTATTTTGGAATCTTAAACATCTTTATATATTTATGTACTTTCTCCTTTTTTTATTTTTTATTTTTGTGGTGCTGGGGTTTAAATTCAGGGACTTGTACTTGCTAGCCAGGTGACCTACCATTTGAGCCACTTCACCACACCTGCCCTTTTTGCGATGGTGGTTCTTCCTCCTCCTCCTCCTTCTTCCTTTTCTTTCTTCTTCCTCCTCCTGCTCTTTTTCTTTCTTTATTGTAATGGGGGTACATTGTGACATTTATAAAAGTTTTATCTCATAGCTAAATTTACTCCCTCCATCATTCTCCTTTATTCTCCCCACCCAATTCCTGGAGTTTCAGCAGGTCTCATTTTTCCATTTGCATACATGTATTCATAGTATTTCCACCATATTATTTTTGAGATAAGGTCTCCCTTCGTGTTGGGGCTGGCCTGGATCACAGCCTCCTATTTGTGCTTCTCTGTGTAGCTTGAATGATAGGCATGCATCAGTGTGTCCAGCCATTGGTTGAGATAGGGTTTGGCCAACTTTTTGCCCTTGGAACCTCTATCCTGTTGCTTTCCTGAGTAGTTAGAATGATGGACTTGAGCCATCACACCTGGTCTCTACTTTGATTTTGAGTAATCAACCATGAATCAATCCCTATAAGAAAAGAAAAGTAGAAATACGTGCTCTTTTATATATTTTAGGAATATATTTGCACTGTATCTAGGAATATGCATGCCTTGTTTGCCAGTTGAGTCCTTCATCAGGGATGTATCACATTATAATAACATGACAGAACTGTGCAAAATGCTTTGAAATGTTTTATCTCATTTCATCCCCACACCATTCTAATCATAAAAACAGCTATTTACATTTCTATTGATGCAGAAACTCCAGTTTAGAGATAATAAGTAAACTGCAAGTGGTTAGAACTGGGATTGAAATCCAGAGTCTGCCTCGAAGCCATGGCCTGTCCACCTTGTTGAACAGCTCTGACCTGCTAGTTTACATACTTAGAAAATGAGACTATTATCAATCATTTATCTTTTTAAAATTTTCACTTTTTTATTTTTGGTGGTACTGGAGTTTGAGTTCAGGGCCTCACACTTGCTAGGTAGGCACTCTAGCCACTCCACCAGCCCAAAAGAAAAGAATTAACTCTTAGCTGGTTAGTTATATCATAAGCTCCATAATCTTACTCTTAAGGTTTTTGGAACCCCATGCTTTGGTTTTCTTGTGTCCCTGAACTGGTGCTGGGGAATCAGCACAACATTTGTTTAATACTCTTCCCTAACTTTACTTGTCAATAATAAGAGTGACAATAAAATTAATTACCCAAATACTGAAAAGGAAAGAAGGTGCTATTTATAATTTCACATGTCCAGGAAGCAGAAAACAGACCCTGTGGTCCCACTTGTAGCCTGCGGGGAGGAACCAGGTACCACAGCAAGTTTGAGTGACAGAAATCAACTTTCAGGGACTTAGCTACTCTTAGATAATGGAGGAAAATAGCCATTTTTAGTAAATGTCAGGTGAGTGCCACTGTGGAGAAATGCCTATAGTGAGACCACTTAGTAAGTTTAAAGTTTTATTATGATCCACAAATTGTAAAAAAACTGACAAAATCCTGTTTTATAGTCCCATGGTAGTGAATTGGACAGTTCATTGGTTTTGTGTATCTCCTGATTAATATGCTATAACAATGTCTATGTGAGTTCCAGTGTGTCAGGAATGCCTGAATATGCCTTTACTATAAAATGGCCTATGAAAGCAGTGAAAAACCACTGAAGAATAGCATTATCAAAATTGCCTTTAATCTCATTATCCTAATGGGAAAATGCTAAGGGAACCTGTTTAGAGTATTGGTTAAGACACGATTTTGGTTGTTTTATGTTTAAGAACTTTGCTCACAAAAATTGATTTTTGCTATGTAAATTTTAATTTACTTCAGAAAATATACAAATTATTTTTCTAAAGTATATTTGGTAAACATGAAAATGTTAGATTTACTAATGATGTAAAAAAATAGCACAAAATGTGATTATATTCACTGCTTTTCTATCTTTTAAGGTAGATATTTGGTTATAAACTTTAGTTTTATTAAAATCAAGAACCATTGATTTATTGTGACACATTTCCTAATAATTATGATTTCTTTTTTTAGCTCATATATCTAAATTCTCACCAATGCCTCTCTATTGTGTAAATAGCACAGAAAATGTCCATACAAGAATGTTGCTAAAAACCTTTGTGTTGCATATGATGACACAGGATGTACTTAATATGCAATTCAACTCAATAAAAATGGAAATATATGTCATATAAATCTTAACTGAGAAAAAGCGTAAATAAAGACAAAATGTGGTAGATATACATGATGGAGTATTTTCAGCAATAATGAAGAATGAAATTATGTCATTAGCAGGAAGATGGATGGAACTGAAGATCATCATGTGAAGCAAGATAAGCTGGAGTGAGAAAGACAAATAACACATGTTCTCATATGTGGACTCTAGATCTAAAAAAAAGGGTAGCATGAGTGTAAAATGGGGGTTTTGAAGATGGGAACCAGTGCAGGAGGGAGGGTGAAAAGAGAGGTTGAATAGGATCAAAGTACTTAATAGGCATGTATGAAAATAGAGTAATGAAATCCATTAAAATTTTAAAGGGGGAGAGGAGATAAGAAAGAGTAACAGAGGGGGGTGGATTTGGTCAAAATCATGTATGAAGTTCACAATGAAGCCCCTTTGTACAATAACTATACACTAAAAATACATTTTAAAAACATATACCATTATATTAACTTCAGATGGAATGGATGTAGAAATAAAGAAAATTACCAGGAACAGAAAGGTACATTACATAGTGGTAAAAAAGAAAAAGTCAACCCACTAATAAAATATAGATCAACCAACTGAGTTACAAATTATATGATAAAACTCTTCTGATCGATCTGAAGGAAGTAAACATCCACAATGACAGTTGGGAACTTCAACAATTAATAGAACAACTGGACAGAAAACAACAGATGTATAAAACAACATCAATAAATGGCATAGAACACTAACCCAAAACAGCAGAATGCAGACATACCTGTGGAACATATATCAAGACATACATAACAGTCATCCACAAATATTAAAGAATTGAAATCAAAGAATATGCTTTCTGACTGAAATGGATCAGACTCCAAATCAGTAACAGTAATAGAAAGAGAAGAAGAAAATCTTCACAATTGGATGTCAAAAAAAAAAAAAAAAGTAAAAGGTGAATTTAAAAGGAAGTTTTATGGGGAATTTAAAATATACATTGGATATAAAGGTAATAGTAGAGGGGTGAATTCACGTATAATATATTTGACACATTGTAAGAACCTATGTAAATTCCACAGTGTACCCCACCCAGCACAATAATAAGGAAAAGAAAGGAAGGAAAGGAGGGAAAGAATGAAGGAAAGGAGGAAGGAAGGAAGAGAAAACAAAACTTTGTAATGAATTAAAGATTGTGGAACTTAGCAAAAGCAATATGAGCAGGACATTTATAGCATCAGATTCTTACATTAAAAAGGAGAAAAAAAAATCTCAAATCAACCTAAAGTCTCACTCTAAGAAACTAGAAAAATAACAACAAAATAAATCCACAACAATTGGATTTATCTCCAAGGCTACTGGTAGGCAGTACAATGCTCTCTCCTGGTGCCAGGTAGGAGCAGCAAGGAAAAGAACGAAGGTAATAAAGACAGACCGGAAATCAATGAAATTGAAAACACAACCCATAGAGAAAACTAGTGATACAAAAGCTTGTTGGTTTTGTATTTTAAAGATGAATAAAATTGGCAAGCCTCCAGTAAGATTGACAGGGCGAAAAAAAAAGATGAATTATTGATATCAGAAAGAAGGCAGGCAATGTCACTACAGACCCTACAGATATTGAAAGGAATACAGAAATTGTGCAAACAGTTCTCACACATAAACAGTTTAGAAGAAATGGGACACACAATGACATCCTAGGCTACTACAGGTATGCAAAGAAGAATTGAAGGCAATTTTGAAAACTGTCCACACAAAAACTGTACATGATTGTTCACAGCACTTGTATGTGTAATGGTTTAAAACTGGAAGTTAACAAAATGTCTTAAAAATAGAAAGAGACTTAAATAAACTGCAGTATACTGCTAACACACCAATAGGATGTAATATTTATTCAGCAATAAAAGGGAAAAAGCTATTGATACAATCACATGGATGGATTTCAAGGACACTGTGCTGGGTTTTTTTCTTTTAAGTCCATTTCAAAAGATTTTGTTCCACTTATATGAGATTCTCAAAATGACAGATTATAGGAATAGAGAAGAAATGAGTGGTTGCTAGTGTTAGCAATGCTTGGAGGAGTGAAGGCAGATGTGACTAAGGAGGTAACAACAGGGAGACTTTGTAGTGATGGGTTAGGCTTATTTTTTTGGTGATTATGTGAATCTGTATGTGTGAGAAGAGACAGAATTACACACAGATGTCAATTTCCTTCTGATATTGTACTATAATTACTGATGGTATCGCCATTGGAGGAAAATGAAATAAGGGTCAATGGGACTTCTCTGAACTATCTTTGCAATTTACTTTGAATCTGTAATTTTTTCCAAACAAATTATTTAAAAAAGTTAGAATCATCTAAGCATTAGATGGTTGGCACTCTATTAGAAAAGAATGTGGTATAGATTTTTTATTTTTATTACAGGTTCAGGTAGAAAAATCAACCTAAAAGTTACTAGAACCACTGATAAAAAGCAAATTGTAGGGTCAGTCACAAAGGCCCATACATTCAGGCTATAATGTCTTACAAGACAGTGTTTGCCTCCCAAATCTGTTTCTTATTCATATTTAAATGACATTTAAAAATTACTTCCTGTCATTGAATGATTGACAATAATTATGTATAAACCTGATTAATGTCATCTCTGCAGAAGGGTCTGTATTCTGTGTTATCATAGCTGCATAAGAGGGATGTGATTATATATATGCATATATATACACACATAAATACATAGATGCATATATATGTATCGATACATATATATTTATATTACTCATGTACTTAATCACAGCTAAAATAGACACTTTATACTGAAAAAAAGTGATTTCATTTTTGGAAATAAAGCTATTATCAGGTTGAACCGAAACCTTGCACATTTACAAAAATATATCTGCACATAAAAAAACAGCAGAGTATTCATGTCAATTCCCAAACACAACTATATTTACT